CTTTTCCTCACTCTATTTTTTTATCTGATAATTTTCTCTCCAGTCTCCCCTATGCTTTAAAGGTAAAATTTCCATATAAAAACATTAGTAATATACTACCACTGGTGGAGTACTTCCTATTTGTTAAGCACGTTGCATGCTTTGCAACCTTTGGTTGTCTCAACAATTCTGAGAGATAGCTACAATTCTCTCTTTATAGATGAGGAAGTTAAGTTACTATTTCAAAATATATGCATATATGTGTGTTTAATTCAAGTTTGGCCCTAACAAAATGACAGCTTAATAATATTAGAATCTAACTGTAAATTATGCCAGAACGCCACAGGATAAGTTCACACTAGTAGTCAATTCAAGGTGTAAAGATAGCCCAGGTATAGAAGTAGGAACAGCGGTCACTAACTGCACTGCACTATTGATTTAAACATTTTTATTACTATATCTTTATGAAAACTTAGAAAAATAGGAATTGATTGCCATAGTGCTATGAGAGGGAAAAAAGGGAATGAACACAATTAGACTTTGTAGTTAGAAGGAAGTTGGAATTTATTTCTTTTGAAACGACTAAGCTGGAGACCCTCAAGGGAATGAAACAGGCAGTCTTTATTAAAAGTGAGAGATTAAACCAAATATTAGCATATTTAAGCAGTCTATGAAAATCTGACTTGGCTTTTGTATTCTATCTCCTCCACAGTCCTGATTGCACTCTTACCAGACAACACTAAAAATCTCCTTATCTATCATCTTTCCTTCTAATAGAATGTTCCTCCTTTTAGTTCTAGGGTGAAGCTCTCTCTAGGTGACGAAGGTGCTTAGCAGGTTAAATTCACTGATGTTCAGGCATAGACCTCTGGGCTGAGAGTCGAGTCCTGTGGCTGATCAGTTGGTTAACTTCAGTAGAGTACTTGATTCTTTGCTCTTTCCCATCAGCCAGTGGGGCACAAAGCTTATCCTTTTATAAACTTTTGTTTGGATACAGGGTCCACTACATAGTTCAGACTTGGAGTGATCCTCCTGTCTCAGCTTTCCCAGCACTGGGATTATAGGTGTGTGCTGTTACACGGGGTTCTGGGACCATCACAGCATGTGGTACTGGGAATCCAACTCTGGACTTTGCGCTTGCCAGGCAGGTACTTAGGCCGCTGAGTTATCTCTCCAGCCCTTTGACTTATATATAGCTATTTCTACTTATATGTTACTGCAGAGAAGACCCCTGGGCCCTTATGGTTTGTGTCTAGATGGCTCCTCAAAACCTTATGCAGTCATGGGGGTGGGCTTCTAGAGTTTCTGCTTGGTTTGTGATCCAATGCTGGGATTATGAGTGTGAGGGCTACGCCCGCCCTGGGGCGGGTCATCTGCATACAATATAAGGGAGAGAAAGAGGCTTGCTTTCTGCCACTCCTCCCTTTTTTGTTGCTTCTGTTATTTTCCACTGCCATGAACTGCTGCCCTCTGCCAGCGGACTGCTGGGCTATCTCTCCGGCCCAAGACAGCGTTGTATTCAGTTCACTTTCAGCCCATGACGGATGCATCAGAAACAGGGTGGCAGAGGAACATGGTAGATCAAAGGCTGATGCTCTGCTCATGGTGGCCAGGGAGCAGCTCATCCAGGTCACCTTTCCTCTCCCCAGTGACCAGCCACTAACCAGGTGCCTCCCTTTCTAGCAGTATATTCAGCTGCTAGACTCATTAAGTGGCCAAATCTACCGATAAGTACTCAGTCACCTGCCAAGAGCTGAGTGCATGGGAGTTCAGGGGCACAATCTAGATCTCAACCATAACACGGCTTTTTCTTATCATCTCATAAAGTGAGCTGCACATTCAGATCAGATATGGAGACAGCTGGGCATGGTGGCGCATGCCTGTAATTCCAGCACTTGGGAGGTGAGGCAGGAGAAACGGCCAAGGACAAGGCCAGCCTGGGCTACACAGTGAGCCCCTGCCACAAAACAAAGAAGTAGGACTCAGGATTCTGTCAAACACAACTCTCTTGAGTAAGGATGCAAGAACGTGCAGCCTGTTCTCTCACAACAAACGGAGAAATGCAACAGTGAAGCTTGCTTCAGCTGAAGCAAACCTCACAACAAACTCCTGTAACTGGATGTTGTTTCGTCACCCTTGTTGGGGGAAGGGATCTGCAGGCAGACAAATAGTATAAGGGCCTCCTTTGTTTTTCTCCCTAACCCTGAATAGGAGTTAAAAGTTTATCTCCGTGTGTATTCACTCTAGGGTCACTGTATGACCCGCTCTGGGCCACGGTACTACAACAGACAACCACAGAACCCCTTACTAACACTAAGCTAGCTCCTTATCAGACAGCTGCCCACCCCAGGGACAAGGTCCTGACAAGGACAAATAAACAGACAGAAAAAGTTATATAAATAGACCTCTGGAAGAAATGACACAGCCAAGAAGGCCCAGTCTAAATCCAAAGACATCCCAGGAGCCAATCAGGATGGCAAGTTCTGGGTAGGGCAAAGCCCTGTGACCTCAGATAAGAGAGGTTAGGAACAAGGGGTCCTTGCAGGTCCTGGATCTTGCCAGAGCCCCTCATCCGATTCCTATCAGGGCAGCTACCTAGCTCCTCTTTATCCTTCTTTCCAACAGCCTCCTTCTTTCTAAACCTTGTACCTTCAATTCATTACTGGTACTGAGTTTGTGATCGAGGTGAGCTCAGCAGAACAGGGTGCCTATCCCCAGATGCGACACCCTGGACACAGTTTCTAGCTCTCTGCCTCCCTGATTCTCCCTAGCTGTATTTCTTATGTGATGATCTCCTGCCGAGCACCTCTCTGGGGCTCAGCTAGATGCTGACTTCCTCCAATGGCCCGCACGCCTCGGGCTGCGGATGCGCGCCACGCTAACGCCTCTCCCGCAAGCCCAGCTGCATGGAGCGCATGCCTGCTTGCTGTAAACCCCGCCATCAGGTCTGTCCATGGACCCCTGTGTGGGTGATGCCTTGAAGGCTTTGGCTCGCAGCTTGCTCCTTCTTTCTCGGTCCCCAGTCCCTGGCTGAACGTCCGTCGCCCAGGAGACTCCTTCTGTCCTGTGAGCCCTGTCAGGCATGCTGTCTTCTCGCTGGAATCTTCCAGGAGCACTGCTCTCATCGTGTGTGCTATGCTGTCCTGCCTCTGCTGTGTCCGTCTGATCAGCAGGACCGCGCCCAGCTTTCCTCCTGGGCAGAGACAGCGCCGCCAGGGGCTCTGCCATGCGAGGGACGCGGGGCAGGGCCAGCAGGCTGCCACCTGGGTAAGGAAGTGTCATGGGACGGGGCACTGTGAACACCCACGGCCACCCCTCCACAGCCTTGTTGGAGACCTCAGCACCAAAATACATGCTGGTCATAACACCTTCTTCTGAAATTTGTGAAGGTGATCGTAAAATAGCGTAAGAAGTAGTAACTGTTAATGCCAAATGTTGTGTATCAGAGAAATCAAAATATATCCACTGTTTTGTTATACAAGTTGATTATTTTTACTGTTTTCAGTTACCTAAAGTTTGGTATAAGTAAAATACACTAGCTTTTCAAGTGACATATATTTGATTTATAATAAATCAAATTTAAAAACTATTTAGAATGCCTGTTATTTCTGTCAATAAATATGCTCTAAAGATTATAAATATTATAAATACTGTTTTTTTAATTTTTTTTATTACATTTATTTATTGTGTGTGTGTGTGTGTGTGTGGCCAGCTCCGCCCACCAGGGGGCGGGGCTGGCTGGCATGGGGTGCTGGAGGATTGAACCGAGGTCCCTATGCTTTGCCAAGCTTGTTTCAAGTAGGTGCTTTAGACCACTGAGCCATCTCTCCAGCCCTATTTATACGTTTATAAATACTATAATAGCATAAATACTATTATAATTAGTAAACAACATATTTCTAACTTCTAGATTATTGGTGGCACGTGAGAGTCATGTCTATCAGCTTTATATAAGCTAAGACCATGGGTTTTTGGAGATGGAACTAGCAGTGTGACTTCCAGTAAGTTATTTTTGCATCTTCCAAGTCTTCTTGTCTGCAAAGATGGAATAGCTTTTTTCAAAAGGGCATTTGAGTGCTTTGGTATGTAGCAGAATTTCAATACATGTTACTTTTCTTGTTTATTTCATTTCATTGTATTCTCAAAAGGGGACACAGCAGATTAAAGCGCCTGCTTAGGTGGACTCAGGGGCTGCGAGTTCGATCCGGGAGTTCGATCCCGGGCCTGCTGTGCTGGCCCTGCCCCTGGGGTGTGCTGAGACAGTGAATGAGACTGGGTGTGCCAGCACAAGGCTGTGATTTCTGAGCTTGGGAGGCTGAAAACAGGAGGATCACTGAGAGTCTGATCTGGGTAGTGAGACCCGGCACTAAATAGGTAAACAAAAAAAGAGGGCACACTTTCTGATGGTTTTAAAAAAAATTAAAAAAACATTTCTAGAAATTTTGTCACAAAATAGTATATTTTTTTGTTGAGTCAAAAAGAAATTAAATTTTACCAAAGGAACACAGGGTACATATATTATATTACGTATGTACCAGTGTCTTAAAATGCCAGAACAGGGTGACTGTAATTCAACGTTTAAAAGCATAGACTAGACAGCATCGACTCCACAACAATTTAACAACAGTCACGTTTCAGGTAGAAATGATAATTGTACGAAATGCTGCTGTTGTTGAAATCTGCCCTTTTTTGAAAGAGAAAAATGCTGCTATGTATGGCTTTGTGTGTATTTGAAAAAATAAAAACCTTTACAAACCCAGTGGGGAGACATCAGCAATGATGAAGTATCCTCCATCAGGAACGATGGGTCTGAGGCCAGCACTTTCAAGTAAATATGCCATCGGTATCTTTTTACTTCCAGTTCTTTAGGCAAATAATAAAAGTAGCAGTGGGTCATCCATGCGCCTGATGTCAACCCAAAGAGCCTGAGCCACGGCTTCCTGTATGTTTAGAGAAACACATGGGAAGGAAAAGCAGTAAGATCAGTCATTGCTTAGTTTATTGGTATAATAAAGATCATTTGAGTGGGATTTTTGGCAAAAGGTCACTCAAGCACCTATGGTAAACTCCACAGAGTAACAGAAGAACCAGTTCTATGTAAACGATCAGCTCTAAGGTGATGAGCTGGAAATGAATCATGAAAATCTAAATTCAAAAGAGGGATTATAGGGCTGGTGAGATGGCTCAGTGGTCTAAAGCATCTACTTAGAACAAGCTTAGCAAAGCAAAGGGACTGTGGTTCAATCCCCCAGCACCACAAGCCAGCTCAGCCCCGCCCCCTGGTGGGCTGAGCTGGCCACACACACACACACACACACACACACACACACATAAATAAATAAAATTTAAAAAAAAAAGAGGGATTATATACGGATGACTTACTCAGAACAAAGAGACACTAAATTGCTCTTTGCTGAGGTGAGCTGTGGAAGGACTTGGGAAAGCGAAGCATGGAAATGGAGTAGGGAAGCTGCAAAGTAGTCAGTATTTCTATTACCTTCCTCCCTGGAGGTGCAAGCCCTTGCTATGATCATGCATGTCCCAGGAAGGTGGGTTGAGAGAAACAGGATTAGAAATGAGTCCTTGGGTGTGTAGGTGACTACTCTATCACCCTTTGGGCAAGTCAGCAGAGGGGGGCGAGCAACTGGGTCAAGGAAAAAGCCAGTGTTGTTGAGTGCAGTGGACCTGAGGCTTATCCCTCCCAAGGCTGTATGCGGAAATCCTAGTTTCCACAGTAATGGTAGCAGGAGGCACGGCCTTGGGGAGGCAACTAGTCAGGAGAATAAATTCCCCAGGAATAGTATTAACATCCTTAGAAAAGAGTGGCATATGCCAGTAATACCAGCATGTAGGAGGCTGAGGCAGGAGAATCTCTACAAGTTTGATGTCAGCTGGGCTATGTAGTGAGGCAAAGCCAGCCTGAACTACATGGTGAGATTCTGTCTCAAAAAAAAAAAAAAAAAATCAGAATAAGGACCTTCCAAGATGTCCGTATTTTAAAGCTCAAAATCTGTACACACGTTAGCTTGCATGATAAAAGAAACTCTGCAGATATGAGTTAAAGACCTAGGTCTGCAGAAGGGAAAAAGGGAGAGAGTTGACTTAAGAGTCACCGAAAGGAGCTGTGTTTAGAAAGAAGAGACTGGAATGATGTGACCAATAGCCAAGTGATGCTGGCCACCTTTAGCAGCGAGACAAGATAAGGAGCCTCAGGGAATAATAGTGCAGGAAAGCCTTCCAGACCCATTCTGAGCTTCCGACATGCAGCCCTAAAAGGTGTTTGTGTTGCTTTAAAGGCATTAGATTTGTGGGACTCTGTTATAGCAAACTAATACGTAGCATTTCCATACTTGGATAGATCATGGTTTATTTAATCAGATGTCTACAGATGGACAACAGGCCATGCTCAGGAGTCTGCAACAAGTAGCTACATGGATAAGTAACTTCCTGCATGTGTACAACCAAAACAAATAAAAATTCCAGATACCAGTGAATATACGTCTGTTCCCAAATTTCCATACGTGATACAAAAGAGACCTCTTAACCAACAAATCATGCTCCCATCCCAGGTCACTAGATCACCTACCTGTAAAGGAGTTGCACAAGTATAAACAGTGTTTTGTTGAACGGTCTGTAAATGTTTTATCAAATGATTAGGACCAATGGTCCAGCCAAGCTGGGAAAAGAAGAGATAAAAACACATTTCAAAGTATAATCTACTCAGAGAGCACATTGGCCAGGCAATGGCCGTGACTCATCCACATGGCTGACACTGACAAAGGTTCTACAATCTCAGGTACAGGATCTCAGGATAAATCCTGAGGGCATTTCACTGACCTTATCAGACCCAAAAGCTACAACTCTTGTTGCACAGGTCCTGCTTTACCTTGGTCTTAACCATCCAGAAGAAAAGTATAAAAATGAAGTATAAGAAGTAAATCCATGATGTTATGTTGAGCTGTAGGGGACTCAGGTCAACAATTTCTGACATTGCCAGTCAAGTGGAAGACTCAATACTATTATGGGCTACCGGACTCTTTTAGAATATTTTGCTGAGTTTACACACCTATAATATTTAAATGATGGAACTTAACAAAAAAAGGGGATACAGATGAATGTCCATTTTGTATCTGTGTATTCAAAGTGGTTAGGATAGATACACAGTTACATTCTCTTAATGAATAGAGGGATTTGTTGTAATAGTGTCTGCAAATAGGATATCATGTCTGCATCTTGTACAGCAATTAACCACTAGGAAGAACATATGCAATGTGTTAATTATTGAAACTGTTCTACCAATTTGGTTTGAAACTGTCTCATTGCTATTTGTTTCACAATAAAATTATGGAAAAAAAAGTATAATCTAACAATATATCAATATCAGATCTGAAGGAGTAGTTAATAGAATTGCTAAGAGCAGGCCGTTCAGAAATGTTCATGCTACGAAACCACCGCAGTGTCAGTGAGGGAAGTATTTCAATGTGATTCTCTTTTGTGGAAAAGTGGAATCACTAACTCTGCCTTCATCACTAAGCTCTGTCTCTATTTTTTCTTTCCATTTTCTAAGATTTCTCTTTCTTTCTTTTCTTTTTTTTTTGGAGACAGGGTCTCACCATGTAGTGCAGGCTGGCCTCAAACTCACAGTGATCCTCTTGCCTCAGCGTCCAGAGTGATGGGATTACAGGCGTTCGTCTGTCTGTCTGTCTGTCTGTCTGTCTGTCTGTCTGTGTGTCTGTGTGTCTGTCTGTCTGTGTCTGCCTGCCTGCTTGTCTATCCATCCATCCATCCATCCATCCATCTTTTGAGACAATATCCTTATGTGGTCCAGGCTGGTCTTGGACTCGTAATCCTTTGGCCTCAGCCTCCCCAGTGCTGAGTCTATATGCATTTAAAACACAAAACATTCTGCAAAACCAAAAAAACTTCCTTTTTTTGAATGTATTTAGGACAGGGTCTATAGGGTCTCACTATGTAGATCGGACTTATAGTGACTCTCCTGCTTTCAGCCTCCCAAGTGCTGGGATTACAGGCGCACATGCCACCATGTCCAGTCTCAATCACCGTCTCAGTGCACACTGGGGGCAGGGCTGTCACTGCAAGGCAGGGATCGAACCCTGGCCCCTGCGCTCTGCCTAAGCAGGCACTTTAGTCCACTAAACTATCTGGCCGGCCCTAATCGTCCTATTTTAAGCAACTTTTTTCTTCTTTTTGGGCAAGGGGAATGCTGGAGATTGATCCCGGGGCCTCTCCCACGCGTGCCCTCCCCTACCCTGCCTGCAGCTGCACCCTGGCCCGCTGAGCTCCACTCCTCACCTTCCAGCCAGTCACACTGAACGTCTTCCCAGCACTTCCTATCGTTATTGTTCGCTCCCACATACCTGGGAAAGTTGCTGAAAGGGTGGAGAGTTAAGTAATTGTTTTGCAACCAACCTATATTTAACATACTATAAAAATATAACAAAGGTGCATGAGTTCAATGAAAATATATTAATTGCAGCACAGTTGGCATAAATACTCCAGCAGTTCCCCAAGGCCTTTGTTCATACTCAGCACTCTACCCAGCCTTTACCTTTTTTTTTTTTTTTTTTTTTTTTTAAGTTCTGAGACTGGGTTTCACTAAGTTGCCCAAACTGGGCTTGAAATAGCAGTCCTCCCGTCTTAGCTTTCAGAATGCTGGGATTGCACATGTGTGCCGCTGCACCTAACTTAAATGGGCTTTAAAAAACAATTTAACTTTAAGCTCACACTTAGCTGAAAATGCTGCAAAGTTTTAGAACACTGTAATGGTTTGCTGAAATAATATGTAAACATTATAGATTTAACAATTAAATAGATTTAATAATTCTAAATGAAAAAGCTGTCTCCAAGGGCAGGTGTGGCAGTGGTATCAACAGGCGGCACTCCAGGCTAGTTCCAGGGGCAGGAGTCACTTGCTGTGGCTTCCAGCGTTTTGTGCTGCAGTGACTGTCCGCAGACATAAGGGTCCTGCGGCATGGCCCTGTGTGTCTGTGAAGCACCCGCCCCTTTATTCTGCCTTCCTGGTGGCTTCTGTCTTAGATCAATGGTTTTTAACTTGTCAGCAAGATGAGAAACACTCGCCTCATCCTGCACCTCTGAATCAGAAGCTCTGGGCCACACCTATTAACTTAAGCGTGTGTGTGTGTGTGTGTGTGTGTGTGTGTTCTGCTTACAACGGCATGTGGGACTTATATCTCAATGACGTCACTGAGGAGATATAAGTCCCTTTCAGAATATAACAAAATTCAAAAAGATAAATAAGGCAAATACTTAGAAGATCTATTTCAAAAAAGAATATTTTACCATTTGATATAACCATTCTACCATTTGAGATTTTTTTTTTCTTTTTGAAGTATTGTGGAACAGAACAATGACATACACATTTTACTTTATCAGAGGAAAATCTAAGCTACGTATGATACAGACTGTCACTTCCTTTAATGTAATAATGTACAAGCATATCTCAAATCAGGAAGGCCTATGAAGAAGAATTTCTAGAAAATATTTTTGAAATAAGAATTATATAGAGGGGCTGGGGAGATGGCTCAGTGGAATGAGCGCTTCCCTGGCAAGCGCAAGGGCCTGAGTTCAATCCCTGGTTCCGCAAAAAAAAAAAAAAAAGAATTATATAGAGAAATTAACAGAAATTCTTACATGCTTTCACTATGCATTATATATAAAATAAACCAAAACTACTCAGTTTAATATCAAACATATGTTTCAAAAACAAACATAGATTTCATTAACAAAATATTAAATCTAGTAACAGCATTTAGAAGAGTAGCCATCTTATTAATGACCATTTTAGTCACATAAAAGTGGACTTCTCCACTCTCCAAGGGAGTAATGTGATTAGCTGAACAGCCTATAAGGAATTTTTAATTAATTTTGCAAACATCAACGTATTCTTCCAAGTTAGGGCAGGGGGATAAGTTTTCTTTTGTTGACTTACATGTTATTTTACTGACCAAGAAATATTTCCATTAAGAGTCTGAACCAGGGCTGGGGAGATGCCTCAGTGGAATAAGCGCTTCCCTGGCAAGCGCAAGGGCCTGAGTTCAATCCCCGGTTACCACAAAAAAAATAAAAAAAAGAGTCTGAACCAGAAAGTGCAAATTTTACTATTTATACAAAAACGCCCTTCAGTTATGTTAAAATATCTAGAAGCTCATGTCCCCTCTACCTCGGAAGGTTTCGGGGCACAGAAGTTCATGGGGACACGCGGGCAAGAGACGAATGCACAGAACGTGGCATGAGAATGTGCTAATAGGAAGGTCACGCAGCAAAACAAAGAAGCTTCAAACCAAAACCCCCAAAACTTTTGAAGTCTGATGACTTTAGAAAAATATAGTTCAAATTAGGTGGAGTTTCTATCTAAAAGGCAACTACGCTTTGTACTTCCCATCAATGACAAATGCTGTTTAATTTAGCTAAAGTAGCTTTGCCACTCGTAGATGACTTAGAGCTCAGCAGAAGCAGATAAAGATTAGGGACACAATGAAGCGCCTGCACCCGGGAAAACACCTCGGTGGCGATCTGAAGATGACGCTCAGGTCATCATGTATCGCTAGAATGTCTCACTATATATTCTTTTGTTTTGAATGAATTTAGGACAGGGTGTAAAGGGTCTCACCACGTAGATCAGATTGGTAGTGAGTCTCCTGTTTCCAGCATCCCAAGTGCTGGGATTGCAGGCACGTACCTCCCCGCCCAGTCTCAGTCACTGCCTCAGTGCACCCCGGGGGCAGGCTGGCACGGCAAGTAGGGAATCGGACCTGGCCGCTGTGCTGTGCTAAAGCAGGCGCTTTAGTCCACTGAGCTGTCTGGCCAGCCCTTGTCTTAACAGTATTATGCAAGAAGTAATGGCATACTTTGTGGACTGGGCTATTTTTCATCTTTCATGTACAAATTTCAACAGCTAATAGAATATATATGTCTTGGTACAGCGAAGTTGTCCTTTCTAAATAATTAGAGAATTCAAGTTTTCTCTTCTTTAACTATATGTATCCCCATGAACTTCTGTGTCCCCAAATCTGAGATAGAGGGGACATGAGCTTCTAGATATTTTAACGTTACTTAAGGGCCTTTTTAAAATAAATAGTAAAAAAAAGGTCTGAATTTATAATATGTATCTTGAATATCTTAGCAGATAGTATGGTTACACTTTACCCTGGTGAACTTCTAATTCATAAGTCTAAATAAATTTCAAGACCACTTAACATGATCCTGAATATTGTTAAATGGAATTAACTGTGATAAGTTCATTGTTCATGTTGGACTGACTTTTTTTCTTTTTTTTTTATAGAACCGGGGATTGAACTCAGGCCCTTGTGCTTCCCAGGCAAGCGCTTATTCTACAGAGCTATTTCCAGGACTGACTTTCCAATTGGGAAAGAGTCCACATGATCTGAGACCCAGGGCACCCATAAGATGGGCAATGGTGGACTCAGGTATAATCTGTATTATTATACACACAATATTCTCCTAGAGAAAATTTATTCTTTACTATGGTTCAGCTTTCACCGACATGCTGATGACTGATCCTGGTCATTAGGCTTAATAAGTCTGCTTGCCTCTCGGTACTGCCTCCTCTATGGCTCAATGATGCTCAAACTTAAGAAGCATTTACAGCATGAGAAGTCGGAGTGGCCATGGCTGTACTGCACACAGCTCTGCTCCTCCTTTCCCTACTGACCCTGAGGAAGGGTTTCACCACAGATGGCCACGTGATCCACAGACCTTAGGCTGACTTGGCTCCCTCGCAACTTCAGATGCTGCGCTAGATGCCCTGTAGCTCCTAATTCCATTTTTAGTATCCGTGCTAATTCTAAAGCATTCCACGTATCAGTTCCTCTGCCAGGGCACATGATTTGCTAGCGATAAGGACCTGCACCTGGCACTTATATATATATATATATATATATATATCAATCAGTCATGGAAACAATTCTCCTGCCCTGCTTCTTGTTCGCAGCAGTTCCCGAAGTGTGATCACTGGCACTCCAGTGATCCAATTCATATACAGAGTTTTAAAAAATCAATTTTAAGCTTTTTCCTACACCATTTTCTGAAGCCTCTGGCAAGGGCTGCCACTTATCTGACAGCGAATGCTTCACATTGGGAAACAAATGAGTCATGACTAAATGAATATTAATAGAAATCAGAGAAATTCAAATGCTTTTTAAAATTCAAATGCGTTTCTTTGGATCATGTTTTGTTACAGACAAGTAGGAATAGAATTGTGATTTTTTACACTGATTTTGAACTGTCAGATGTCTCAGGAAATGCTGCTTCTAATTTTGGGATAGAAGTCTTCTAGTTTCATTATGTCCCTACTTCATGATGAAGACTATTGTGGTTTGAAGGTGCTCTGCTTGGGCAGTTTCCGAGCCACTAACCAGGGCAACAGTTTATATCCCTTGTTCTCATACTCAGAGGGCTTCAGGACCACCCTCCTTTCTCATCCTCACTGGTACCAGGTACTCCAACACACCCATAAATCAAACAGCGAGTCTTTCTCAGGGATCTCCTGGTGGTGTGCGTATCCAGGCTGAAGTACGCACTAGCTGTTCTGATGGGCACGTAGTCTGCTGTCTGCCTAATATTATACCTTTTGCCCACTTTCTTTCTGATCCCCTCAACCAGTGGCTTTCTTCTCTTATTGCTGCAGGCATCTGTAATGTACTACAAGGACAATTATGGCTCATGCAGCAACTATACATATTTATACATACATGCTAATTTTTTTTATCTACTTCTGCCATAATCCTTTACCTTTCTTTTCTGTCTGTTTCATATTTTGGATTCATTTACTCAACAACCAGTTTTCTGACCCTATTTGGAAAATAGAGAGTCAGAGGAGGTGACTCTAAAATAATAACAAATAATAAGCAAAAAATAATCTCTACATTTTGCAGTTTAAAGTGAAATGCACAGATTCTGATAGTGACTATATAGGGAAAGGCACGATAAAACAGAAAACAAAGCCAAATGCTCGAGGAAGCGGTGTAAGTATTTGAAATGTGGCAGTCACGAAAAGTGACATAGAAACAGGACCTAAAGGAGGTGAAGGACCAGGCCAGGTGAGTACTTGGGGCAAAAGCATTTCTAGATAAAGGAACAACAGGTGCAAAACTCAAAGGTTCCAGCTTATAATTCTCCTAGTTGATACACGTTCAGGCCACCCAAGAGTAAGCTGGCATTGTTCCTAGGAATGTAAAATTCCAGACAAAGCCTGACTAGAAACAGCTTATTGTCCCTATCCTTCTTCCCACCGCCTTGCGTTTTAGCAATCTGCTCTGCACAGAAAACCCAGAATCCGTGCATTAACAATGACACACCCTGTCTCTACGTACCCTGGAGTAGCAGGATTCTTACTGAGAGGCCACAGAGACAGGCAAATGTACAGCGCCCCGACTTCACAGTTTCAGAGTGTGAGCTGCACTTTCTGTCCCTGAGTTCACACTGGTTGTCATTCAAGCCGTTCATTTACCGCAATGTAAGCATCATTCATTCCAGTGTTATTCTGGCACGCACACACCTTTGGATGATAAAGGCTATTCAAAAGCTGGCCTGGGCTCCTTTCCAGTTATTCCACATGGCCCAAGTACACTTAGACTCATGAGTTTATGTAACAACTGTACCTATTTTTAAGTGCTTATTTCCGGTGTATACAAGCCACTCATAAACCTCGTCGCTGATACAGAGTGTGTCGTATTTGATGCAAAGCTGAGCAATGAGTTGGAGCTCTTCTTTCGTATACACCTGCACAGATTGAAGGAGAAAGAGCACCAGTTATTACCCAGCCTAGGAGCTAACGCTAGGTCAAAGCCTGCAGAAAGAGAGACACTCACCTTGCCAAGGGGGTTGTTTGGAGTATTTACTATGATGGCTTTGGTTTTAGAATTAAATTTGCTTTCAAGTTCTTGTGGATCTAATGTCCAGTCAGAACTAGACCATTTTTTTCCACCAACAGCTTTCTAAGCATGAAGAATGAAGACAAGATATAAATAAATTGATTCATGTTTGTTAGCTTACAAATAAATGAATTAATAAGGGAGGGGGAAACAAAACAACAGAATGGCAGGGGTCACACAGAAAGAACCAGACCCTGAGTTCCGGGATGACCTGAGTGTTAGGCTCACATGTGTAAATCAAAAAATGAACTCTGTCCACATGGACAGCTGTTAAGATGCTTATATTTCTTCCTAGAAGCCAGCTCTAAGTTGAGTTAACATGGTACTACACAAGGTAAATAGAAGATTGTTGGCCTGAGTGTATTTATTATTTTGAAAAGATTTATAATCTTTAATGGTGACAAAGTAATTAGTATTTTCATAAATTCTTATAGTGTATGCACTGACTGACATACTTACCGATCTTAGGGGAATAAAAACAGGTGTTGCTCCAGCCATCCTCACCATGGGCTCGTAGCAGTCATAGAAAGGCACTATTATAATGACCTGAGAGAAGAGCAATTAAGAACACAGCACACCAAATCATTAATTCATGTGCAAGGACGGCTCTACGTCGAAATGCTGCAGGGAGAAGTGGTTCTTGTCTTCATGGAACTAGAGTCTGAGTGGAAGAGACCTTGGGTCAGACTTGTCTAAAGAGTCCAACTTGGGAGTTTTTGGGCCTTTGTAGATCTGTGGATGGGCCTACGGTGGATCCACTTGAAAAGGTAAAATTTTATATATGCATAGGTATGTTTATTTGAGGAGAGGGGCCATACCTATCGTATTTTCAAAGGGCTATTTAACCAAAATCATAATTTATTTTTATTTCAAGTTAGAAGGTAGATGTACAACAAATGGTATTTTAGACAGTGATAGGATGAGGACTGTGTGGAAAAAGAATGCTGGCATGAGCGCTAATTACAAGCATTATCCTGTGAGTGAAGAAGTGTTTCTCCTCAGAACATCCTGTCACAGAGAGTGGATGCAGGAAGACAAGCAGGGAGACCCCACGATTGCCCTCCAGGTGCCCTGTGCCTAGAGTCTGTCACTTCCCTTGGTTTTCTAGATATAAGACCTGTTCCTGGCCCTAGCACACTCCACCCAGCAACTGAGGTGAGGGCCAGGGCAACCGGCCCAGCCACTCGCCCCCTCCTATACTGCCAGCCTCATATGGTGTCCCTGACTTGGTTTTTCTACAGGGTGAGTTTGAACACATAATTTATAGCCATCTCATACACTCAAGTTTTCTTTCTACCTTTTAAAAACCTACCAATATTCCATAAAATTTTCATATTACACTTTTCATACTTATTGCTTTAAGGGTCACATGAGACTCTACTGATTGTTTTCCTTTTTTTGTATTTTAGGGAAGGGTCTACAGGGTGTTCAGGGTCTCACTACTAGATTGACCTCATCACTATGAGTTCACTATGATCCACCTGTTTATAGCCTCCCAGGAGCTGGGATTACAGACACACGCCACCATGCCCAATCTCAATTGCTGTCTTAGCGTGCCCTGGGGGTGGGGCTGGCACAGCAGGCCCAGAGATCGAATCCCCGTCCCCTGAGCCTGCTAGCAGGTGCTTCAATCCACTGAGCTATCTGGCCGGCCCTGTCTACTGAATTTTAGAATACTTTTCTACAGTTCACTTGTATAGATAACGGTGCTGATTTTCTGTGAACACGCAGTTCTCTATTTCTAAAATAATTTGTTAAATAAGGTCATATGATTGCTTATCTAAATTATAGAATATAAAGTTGGGGTCTTGCTATGAAATTCAGGCAGACTTGAACTCAGTGTGTAGCCCAAGCTGACCCTGGACTCAGGACAATCCTCCTGCATCAGGCTCCCAAGTGCTAGGATTATAGGTATGCACCACCATGCCTGGTTGTTGGATCTAATTACAAGTAAACATTAATGCTTTAGGGGCTGGGGAGATAGCTCAGTGGCTTAAGCACCTGCCTGGCAAGCTTACAACGTCCCAAGTTCAATTCCCAGTACCTCAAAAAACCAAACCAAAACAAAAAATAATTGCTGCTTCAAATGATACTTGCTACTGTTTGTGTTTCTCGTGATATAAAATACCTGTCTCTCTCTCATGGGAGGGATTCATCCTAAAGCCCTTTGTACTAACATGCAACTCAGAGTGCGGTAGAACAAGCACAATCAGCAAGTTTCTAGCCGGGAACTGTGGGGGACAAAGCAGTGAACTGGGAATGGGTCCTCACCTCCAGCAGAAGGGAAGGTCTTCATCTGAGGGGCTTTCAGGACTCAGAGGACCTGCCTGTGCTACTTGGAGGAGGAGACACTCAGCTCAGAATCACGTGAGGGCACTGGACAGGAAAATAACGCCGGGAGACGGGGCAGTGCAGGGGAACATCCAGCTGCTGCCCTTCACCTTGCATCCTTTACTTCGTGGTGGGAATTATTCCCCTTTTTTTTTTGATGAGTTTTTTTTTTTTTTTGCACTTATTGTCTGAGGTGCTAGCTCTCAGCTGAGTTTGGTGAATCCCTGCACTCGAAGGCAGGATGATAGCAAATTCAAGCTCAGCCTGGGCACTCAACAGCTTAGCAAGATCCTATCTAAAAAAAAAAAAAAAAGAGCTAGGGGTACAGCTCAGTGTGAAGACCCTGGGTTCAATTTCCAGTATCCCCAAAATGACAACCACTTCCCCAAACCAAAAAAGCCAAAATTCTCCCAGAATCTGTATCTCAGAGATTAATGGTGAATGAGAAAAGAAGTCAGTAAGTTAGATAACGTCAGACAGTAATGTGCTACGAAGAAAATGAAATGGGACTGCCTAAAAGAAAATGGCACGCATGCAGCTTCAAAATATTGAAGTGCTTGGCAGGCCAGCTAGCTCAGTGGACTAAAGCACCTTCTTAGAGTGCAGTGGCCGGGGTTCGATCCCCGACGTGCCATGCTGACCCACCCATGGGGCATGCTGAGCCTGCGACTGAGACTGGGCGTGGTGGATTATGTCTGTAATCCCAGTGTTTGGGAGGCTAAAAACAGGAGAATCAGTACGAGTCCAATCTATGTAGTGAGACCCTGTAGATCCTAAATACAAAAAAAAAAAAAAAAAAAAAAGTGCTAGGGCACTACTAGGGTGAATGAGTGAGGTGAGTGCCGGCGCTGGGCCTGCATCACCGTGCTGCGTGACAGAAATGGCCCGGCCTTCCGGGTACATCCGCACGCTCATGGGACACTGGCATGAAAAGACGCAGTGCGCGAGCTCAGGCTAAAGGTTATTGTAGCAACGAAGACAAAGGGTTCTGTTCCCTCAGCCTTGCTAGCCTACTTCCACCTACTCTTATCTCAGTAGGCTATAAAAATAAAAACGAATTAATGCAGTGGAATGGGTGCCGCTAATAGGCTGTATAAGGAGAAATGACAGAAGCCGGGCCCAAGAGCGTGCGCGGTAGGTTTGGATTTGCATCAAATAAAAGGGCGGTGAGAACCAACCTGCGGTGACGGCAGACAGCCTGCGCTGGAGAACAGAGTAAGCGGGGAAGGCAGCGCAGCCTCCCGGATACTGGCAAAGCACAGCATCTTTATCTGGGTTATAGGTACACGGCGTTTTATCCAGCTGTACATTTAAGATTTGCTAACCTCATAGTACATGCCTCAGGATTCTATGACACTTGGAAATAAAAATTATGCAAAACAAGTAGAAGATACAAAGACGGGATGAAGGACAGCGATCAGCACAGACATCATGATAATGTTAACGTACTTACCTCATCTCCTTCATCAACTAGCCCTTGAATGGCATTAAAGAGAGATCCATATGCTCCTACTGTCACAAGGATTTCTTTATTTGGGTCGATTTGATTGGGAAAAAATTTTTCATAAAGGCAGGACAGGGCTTTCACAAGTGACGGATGTCCCTGTTGGATTAAAAAATAAGAAACCAATTGAAGTCGATGATGGAACCATTTTTTTTTTTTTTTTTTTTGAGGGAATATGGCCCTAAAATTTAAGAATTTTAAAAACTTGTATTTGATATTTTTAATTATTCAATGAAAAAATTTTATTTTAAATAAGTCCTCTTTATATTATCTAGGCTAGTCTTTTGTTCTTGACCTTCTTGCTTTATCTTCTCAGGTGCTAAGATTACAGACCCAACAGGAAATCTGTATTTGTAAATGGTGATCAATCGAAAAGCTTTTCCTGACTCCCTATGTGAAGTTATGAAAAGTTGTTAATCATGAAAACTTACTTCAAAACTAAAGATATAATAATACATCCTTATAAAATACTTGATTTACATAGAAACGAACCTCTAGGGTTTTTTTTTTTTTGAGGGTCTCACTATTTAATCAAGGCTGGCCTTGAACTCACTATGTAACCAGTCTGGCCTCAAATGTATGGCAAGCCTCCTGCCTCAGCCTCCCAAATGTTGAAAGGACAGGTGTGTGCCACCATGCCCAGACTTCTTTAGGGTATTTTATGTATATGATATTTTCAGAATATCAGTTTCAGTTTTTCTCTTTCTAATCACATCTTTGTTGAGGACTTTTAGACAATTCTGAAAAACAATACTGAGAGTGGACATCTTTCTCTTGCTCCCAATTTTTTAAAGATTATTAGATACCATATTTTAATAAATTTGAATTTTTTTAAAATCTAATTTTACTTTATTTTTAAAAGTAAAAACAGAAGCAGGAACAAAAAATCGGAAACAAAGACAAAAACAAGGTAACATATAACACGTTACAGATTTTCAAAACAATAGCTGATTAACAATGGTTGATACATGATTTTTATCATCAAATCTGTTGCTCAGAATACCAGCTATAGTTGTATATGATTGGACATACGATTGCATATTAGTTTACTTTGAAGAAGCCTTAAGATTTTATTCTAGACTCTTTTTAACCTTTTTTTCTTAAAGCATATATAGAGAATAATTGATATGACATTAGAAACGGTACACAGTTAGAAGACTAAGATGACAGACACCCAATTTTTTGTATTATGTACTCTGTCCATATTATCTGTAGTTTTCTCATAGATTTGTTTTAACTGATTGACAAAGTTCCATTCTCTAGTATTCCTGAGTAGCTGAAGGGTTGTATTATAAAGAGACATGAGGGAGAGGAGAGGGGTGGAAGGGAGGGGAGGGATGAAACAGGAATTAAGATGCGTTACACACCAACTTCTCGTGGGGAATGTGGTCATTATGTACTGCACACACGTCCTAATAAAAAAGAGAGGGAACCGGGCACGGTGGCTCACACCTGTGATGCCAGCGCTCGGAAGCTGAGGCCCAGCCTGGGCTACCTCATGAATTCAAAGTCAGCCAGAGGGGCCGGGGAAATAGCTCAGTAAAATAAGCGTTTGCCTGGCAAGCGCAAGGGCCTGAGTTCAATCCCCGGTTCCACCAAAAAAAAACAAAACAAAAAAAAACAACAAAGTCAGCCAGAGCTACAGAGTGTATTTTCTGCATATGCTAAGGTGATTGTGTAATTTTTCTTTTTATTGCATTAATATACTGAATTGCAATCACTAACTTTTGAACATTAAGCCTGCCTTCCTGTGACAAAGCACACTTGGTCAGCATGCTTTTTACCTCCTATTCACAAACATACATACATATATACATGCATGTACAGACACATGCCTGAAGTTGATTTAATGAAAATTTAAATTTTTCTTACATTCATGAGGAATATTGGACTGGATCATCTTGTTCTTGGTCTTGTTTCGTAACAGAGTCATACTGGCCCCGTAAATGCACTGGCATAGTGGTGCACACCTGTAGTCCCAGCACTCAGGAGGCAGAGAGGCAGGATTGCTGTGAATTCAAGACCAGCCTGGGCTCCAAAGTGAGCTCAAGGCCAGCCTGAACTGCACAGTGAGACTCTCTCAGAAAAAAAGGGCAATATTTTCATCCTGCTGTATTTTCTGAATGAATGTGTATAAATTGGTATTATTATTTAAATGCTTAACAGAAAATTATTCATGACAGTGTTAAGGCTATTTAAGTGACAGTATGATCTATAATGAATTTCTTTTTCCATTTCTCATGCTGTACTTTCTTCCATTTTTTATTGCTAAATCTAGCTAAAGTCTTACTGATTGATTGACTTCAATGAACCAGATTCTGGTTCTATTTTCGTTACTGTTAGCTCACTGCTGGGTTTTTATCGTGGACGCACACGTGGCTGGGAGGGCAGTGTGGGAGTGGGTGTGAGATGGGGTCTGGACACGGACTTTGATTGTAGGCGGTGCTGTGGACTGAACGCAGGACCTCATATGTTCTAGACGTGTGTGGTACGTACCATGAGCCGCCCTCCCAGTCGTCAGGTGGGGTCTGCAGGTGGATCAAGGAGTGAGATTCCACAGGAAGCAGGGATTCTCACCCCGTTAGACCCTGGGCTATGCTCAGTCTCACTGCTTTTTGGGTTCTCTCATTTCCAGTGCCATGACCCAAAAAAAGGCCTCCCTCTTTCCTTCTTTCCATTTCCCAAGCTATCACAAAGGGAAAGACAAGCACTGAGCTATGTGACAACTGTGTGGCTTTTGGGCGTAACAGACACAACTCCGCAGTTTAAAAGAGAGGCATTTCATCACAGCTGGATGGAGAAGCGAGCTGAGGTGAGAGACAGAAGACAAGAGGGACAAGGGCATCAGGGGGCCAGAGCTGGGGCTGCCTGAGTGCTATGGAGATACATGACACAGCATAAGCTTTTTAAGCTCGTGCCCCTTATGCTCCCGATATACTTACAAAGCCCCGCGTGTACTGATTCAGGTTATCAACAAATGCAATCTTTGATAACGCTTCTTTTACGTATGTTGGAGGAGAGATATCTGGAAGGCCCTGGCCAAGATTTACCACAGAGGGATCTGCAGCCAACTTGGTAAATTCAGTCCTAAAATTAGGGAAAACAAACAAATATTAAAAAACAAAAAGAAAATTAGTATTGATAAGTATTATACTTACAAAGTTTACTTTTTATATCACATGGTCTTACTACAAAGTTGAAAACAGAAACTTATGTTGGCCTTACAGATTAAGAGTTCCCAATAAAAAGTTATAAAAGGCTCACTTGTACTTCCAGCACTGTGGGAGGTGCTGAGGCAGGGACATTGTGAGTTCAAGCCCAACATGGACAACTGGGCGACACCCTGTCTCAAAATAAAAAAGGGCTGGATGAGGCTTAGTGCAAAGGCCCTGGGTTCAATTTCCATTACTGAGGAAAAAGAAAATTATCATCCCTAGACTGGGCGTGGTGGCATGCACCTGTAATCCCCGCTCTTGGGAGGCTGTAAACAGGTGGATCACTATGAGTCTGATCTAGTAGTGAGACCCTGAAAACCCTGTAGACCCTTCCCTAAATATATAAAAAAAGAAAAAGCCTGTAAAAAAAGAAAATTATCATCCTTGAAATGAATTTACCTAGTAAAACCATGGCTGAATGAAGGCTACTCACACATCTCGTTACATGACACCCACAATGCAACCACACTCCCCCCCCCAACCATCTCCCATCTGTTGCTCCATTTGGTCGTCAGCTGTGTAGCAGCAGAGCTAATGAGATGCTCCTTGGTTATTAGCAGGTGAGCTCCAAACCAAGCGCATCTTTCCTTTGCTCCGTGTCCAATTGCAGCACAGAGCATCGCATGCTGGGGAACTGCATAAACCAGTGTATAGACCCTTTCCCTTATTTAAGGGATAAATGAGATAAATCTTTATTTTTGGACTCTAGATGAGGCTAAAATTTCTCAACTAAGGAAAGAGAAATATGGAGGAAATTTTCCCCCCAAGTATTAATGTGTTAAGATACTCACCATACATTGCTATCAAGTCCCTCGATGCGTTTCGTATTTTTAAATTTTGAAGACATTTTCTGAAAAAAATGTAAATATTGAAATATTTTTAAAAATGCTTTAATTAAAATTTGAAAGGGCAGTAAATCCTGAGTCATCTTCCCTGTCCTGTCTTCACCACATAGCTAGGAAGACCACCGAGCTGAGTCCTAGTGGCCAAAACAAAAATCTGAGGAAGAGCTCAGCTCTAAGCAGCTCTTCTAAGAAGTGATTTCTGTGTATGTTGTCACCCAGCTTAAAGAAGTAATCATTTCAAATGCTAGCTGTGTACACAGGAGAATAGGAATATTTTTAAAGACTCAGTTTAAAAAATATCTTGAGCTGTGCTCTCAAGCAAGTAAAATATGCTGAGTTCCACAAGAAAGTTTCTTGCATGGTATACAGAAAGCACTCAACAAATGGTCTATTTTTCTTTTGTTATTTACTTATTTATCTATCTGTGACAGGGTCTTGCCGTCAAATTCAGGTTGGCCTTGAACCATGTAGTCCAGGCTGGCCTTGGCCTGTCAGCGATCCTCCTGCCTCAGCCTCTGAGTGTTGGCATCACAGGTGTGCACCACCATGTCTGGCAGCAAGTGATTTAAAAACTACTCACTAAACAGTTCCAAGTAATAGCGGTCAAGATGACTGAGGAGTGATTACACACCAGGCGCTTTGCCGCGTGCTCCGCATAGCTTACTTACCTAATGTACACATTAGCCCTGTTACAAGCCACTGCCACATGAACAAAAGGGAGGCACAGGGAGGAATCAGACCACACGACTTTTCACATCAGCCCAAGTTCATAAAAGTAGCAACCTTCAAACCCAACAGGTGTACCTGGAATCGAGTCCACTGCTGGACTGCAGAACCCATACACAGAACGACTGTCATCTGCTGTCGTACAAAACTAGACTTTCTAATAACATGACCAGAGCACTGTCTCTGAAAAGCATGTTAGTAATTTAGAGCAGGTCCACTCATGCCAAGGAAGCTAAAGTTGTGGTAGAAAAATACTAGAGGCGATGATGATTATGTAGCATACATTTTAGTTCTCTAGATTCCAAAATTAATTACGTCCTATCTCTCAAAAGCACTGAATTAGTTTTGAGTTCATTATTAACAAGCTGGTGGAAATAACAAAATGATTGACATTATTTTTGCAAAGAATTTTATAATAGAATATTAAAGCAATTTTAATTTAATTTGGAAGGAAGATAATGATAATGGTTATTAAATCACCATTGTTCTCATTCTATTCCCAATAATGAGACAAAAAATGGCTTTTCAGTTTCCTATTTTTCATCTTTGAAACTCCAGTGAAATAAATCACATATTTCTTCTCCAGGGGCTAAAGTGTCTTCTAGCAGAGGATTGCCAGGAAGTCCCACCTGAACACAAAGCTACTCCAGAGACTAACAATTATAAACGCAAGAATCTGGGCAAGACAGCGAAAAAAAGATATATTAATAAATGCTGTTTGCTATCTCTGAAACAATACTGAGAGCGTAATGATTTATACACTATGGACCACAACCACAAAGTGGAGACTCAGGCGCAAAAATGCCAGCACGCTGTCGTGGGAGATAATTAGGCTGAGGAGGTTTTACTTGACATTCACACAGTTAAGGTCAATGCAGTTTGAGATTTATGTTCTTTAAAATCTGCATCCAGAGCAGCCTCTTCTGTTTCTGCTGCCCCTGCTTGCCTTCCACCCCAATGCCTTGCCTCAACTATTCCACTTTTTCAGTCTTCACTGCCTCTCAGTTCTGTATGGATTTTTCCTCTGCCCAAATAGCGCAGCTCTGCGCATTCCCCAGCCTCATTTGCATCACTGCTCTCATACGGGGCATCTTCGCACTTTCCCAACTGTCAAGGGAACAGTAAGGAACGTGAGCTTGTCAGATAGATTTGCACTCCCAAGGGTCATAAAACATTGTAATGGCTATTATTTTATTTTGCCTACCAAGTACCCATTTTCTCTTCCTTGGGTGTGATAACGCCTCAGTAGGGTGTTTTCTTTTGAGATGGGGTTTCCCTATGTTGTTCAGGTTGGCCTTGAACACTCTATGTAGCCTAGGCTGGTCTCGAACTTGTGGTGATCCTGCTGCCTGTTGGAGGCCATTAACGGGTATCCATTCTATTCCTCTGCTGAGTCAAGTTTATGGCCCTTCTCATCTTGCCCATTCCCTGGGAATCACGTGCTATGCCCTAGGGGTTGCACCCTCCCC